TCCTTTGATCAACATCTCCCCAACCTTCTCTTTTCTCTAACCACTCCAGCCTTTGTAAACCACATACTACTCTTTACTTCTATGAGATCAACTTTTAAAAAATTTCCCATATGAATGAGGTTACATGGAATCTATTGTTCTGTGCCTGTCTTTGTGTCTTTTTAAAATAGCACCTTACAATATATAGATACTCAATTACTATTTCTTCAATGGTAAAAGAAGAAAAGGAGAAAACATCAGTTGATATAATCTTATTGGACCACTCAATTTAATACTTCCTGCATCAAAGGGCACTTTACATTCCAAACATTTGGAAGAAGCAGCATTTTAGTTTTCCTAGATTTTCCTAAACTAACAAAATTTGTTATGACTCATAGGGTCCCATTATAGGAGCAAGTTTTAAGGCTTTACTCTTTTAAATGTCAGGATAATAAAAAAAAATAAAATAAACACTTACTACAAAATTCCTTCTTGTTATATTGACAATAATTGTGTTCCACTCTCTGAAACACAGTGAATATTTGCTAATCCATTTTATATGAAATCATATGAATCTTTCCTAAAACATATTCCCTGAAAACCATTTATGCTCTCATTTTAAAATAGGGAGCATAGGCCTAGAACACAGAAAGTGTAAGTCCCTTTTTCTGTTCCAAGCAATGCATTATAAATTCTTATTCAATATTTGTTTAATTGAGTAAGATGGAAAATTGTAACAATTCTCACAGCCTGGGCTTCTAGTCTCCCCCCGCCCCCCTTCTTTATGATCCTAATTCTGATGGTTCCACCTTGTGGTAAAAGTTAGAATAGGTTCTTTGTATTTTGCTTTGTTTTGTTGTTTGCCTATTTTAAAAAGTCTAAAGTAAAACCTATTCTGAAAAAAAAAAATTAGAAAATTATTTCTGAAGTGTTTAAGTTTATTTCCCTTACCCTCAAGGAATTCATAGCTAATTGGGAAGAAAGACACCTCGGGAGATATTTCAATATGATGTGATTGATGCAAAAAAGAGAGATTTGCATAGGGGGCATTAGTGGCACAAAGACAGTATCTGATCCCTTTCACCTCTTGGGAAAGTTAGGTAGAAAATGGTACTGTTCAGGTGATCCTTCAGGGCTTGGTTTAAGATGCCGAATTATGATAACATGAAAGGAGAGGCCAAATGTCAGAATTCTTTTGGAAGCAGAATAAGGGCTCAAAACTGAGATCAGAGAGAAGGGACTGAGGAAAATATTAGGAGTGAAACATGAGAGCTAAGCAGGGATCAAAAACCCAGGGATGCAATAGGTAGAGGATAGGCAAAATGAAAATGTTGTGAAAAATTTCTAAAGGTAATAAAGAGCTAGTAGAATGGGAATTGGAAGGCAAAGCAGAGGGCTTAGACTTCTAATCAAGATGGCATTTTAACTTCATTTTCGAGGCACTGCTCTGGACCAAATCCATAATAATATCAGGTAAAATATAAATAGCTAAAATAAAGGACAAATTAAGGCCAAAAAGAAAAAAAAAAAACCGGGAAACAATAAAAACAATAACAAAAAAAAAAAAAAAAACAAGGAAGAACCCGGCAAGAAAGCCCAACCAAAAAAACCCAACAATCCGAAAAAACCCGGGCAAAAAAAAAAAAAACCCGCCCCCCCCTAAAAAAAAAAAGAAGAAAAGAAAAGAAAACAGGTGTGGTGGCATGCGCCTGTAATCTCAGGTACTTGGAGGCTGAGGCAGGAGGATCTCTTGAATCCAGGAGTTTAAGGTTGCAATGAGCTATGATGATGCCACTTATGGTATTTGTCTTCTTAAAAAAATACACCAATGAGTAAAGCTAAAGCAATTCCCTGCTACTCTCTGCTCTCTGATCTCAAAACCAGGCAGTGGATCATCTAGGAAGTTAGTCTCCCGCAGAGACCTAGAAGTTGAAACTGCTCCATGTATGTTTGGAGACTAGGGCCAGACTTAACTAATTAAAACCAAGATCTGGCAATAT